TGTTGCCTTCACTGAATTATACCCTCTGTATGATAATATGTCCTTGTTTTCTCACTTTCTGATCCTTGACATGGATCCTACTTTATATATTAATGTCCTTGCCTTCAAGAAAAATAGTAATTATGTATATGTGTATAATATTTACATGTGAAATGAATATGGAAAAATATTAAACATTGTTAAATCTGAGGCCAGCATTATGGTGCATCATGTTAAACTGTTGCTTGTGATGCCAGTATCCCATATTGGAGTGCCAGTTTAAGGCCTAGCCTACTCCACTTCCAATCCAGCTTCCGGCTAGTTCACCTGGGAAGACAGCAGAGGTATCCTAAGTACTTGGATTCCTGCCGCTCATGTGAGAGACCCAGATGGAGTTACTGACTCCTAGCTTTAGTCTGGCCTAGCTCTGACTGTTGTGGCCATTTGGGGTGTGAAATGGAGGATGAAAAATCTCCCACTCTGACTCTCCCATCCTGTATCTCTGCTGTTCAAGTAAATAAATACAACTTAAATTTTTTAATCTAATAACTAAAATATAATACTACTGCTATATTTAAAATATAAAATAAATATGAAAACATTAAAAATATAAAAACTTAAAATAAATATAAAAACATTTGTATAAATCACTTCCAATAACAATTGAATGAAATCAGTGAAAGGTAGATGAAAATCTACAACCGTATGTAAATTAAATAGCACACCCTTTTTAAAGATTTACTTTTTATTTTATAAAAAAGGCAGAGTTACAAAGAGAGAAAAAGAGAGATAGACGGAGAGAGAGAGAGAGAGAGAGAGAGAAATCATCTTTCAACTGCTGGTTTACTCCCCAAGTGGCTGCAACAGTCAAGGCGGGGCCAGGCCAATGCCAGGAGCCTGGAGCTTCCTTCAGGTCTCCCAGGCAGATGCAGGGATCCAAAGACTTGAGCCATCCTCAGCTGCATTCCCAGGCACATTAGCAGGGAGCTGGGGTGAAAGTGGAATAGCATGGTCTCAAACCAGCACCCATATGGGATGTTGGCATTGCAGGCAGAGGCTTAACCTGCTATGCCACAATGCTGGCCCCAATAATACACTCTTAAACAACTAATAAAACAGAAAAAAGTCAACAGAGAAATTAGAAATTATCTTGACAAATGAAAATGAAACATACCAAAAATTAAGAGATACACTGAAAGTAATGCTAAAAAGGAAATTAGTAGCTCTAAATGCTTACTTTAGAGAAGATATCAAATAAAAAACCTTACTTTATAACTTAATGAACTGCAAACAGAAGAACAAATTAAATCCAAAGCTAGCAGAAGGAAGGAAATAGAGATTAAAGCAAAGATCTTGGATTTATTTCAAAATAATTTAGTAGTATGAAACAAAATTGACTATATATTGATTATTGTTGAAATTAGGCAATAGACAGGTCAATGGTGAGATATTGGCCAATGGGTATAAAATTTTAATTATAAGGTGAATATGGGGTGGGCATTTGGCACAGTGGTTTAAGATGCCAGTTGGGGTGCCGGCACTGTGGCATAGCAGGTAAAGCTGCTACCTGCAGTGCTGGCATCCCACATGGTTCTAGTGTGGGTTCTAGTGTGGGCTGCTCCACTTCTGATCCAGCTCTCTGCTGTGGCCTGGGAAAGCAGTAGAAGATGGCGCAAACCCTTGGGCCCCTGTACCCGCGTGGGAGACCCGGAGGAAGCTCCTGGTTCCTGGCTTCAGATCAGCCCAGCTCTGGCCACTGGCTGTTGTGGCTGTTTAGGGAGCAAACCAGCACATGGAAGACCTCTCTGTCTCTCTCTGCCTCTCCTTCTCTCTCTGTATAACTGTGACTTTCAAGTAAAATAAATTAATCTTTTAAAAAAATGTTCCAGTTGGGATGCTTGCATCCCATATCAGAATGCCTGGTTCAGGTCCAACTACTCTGCTTCCCATCCAGATTCCTACTAATGTATGCATAGGCAGGGGCAGCAGATCATGGCTCAAGTATTTTGCTCCCTGCCACCAAAATAGGCCTGAATTGAGTTCTGGAGTCCTGGCTTTGGCCTTGTCCAGCCTTGGCTGTTGCAAGTATTTGGGGGTGTCTTTCTGCTTTTCTCTGTATCTCTGTGCATCTGAATAAAAATGTTGACTAATTTCTGGCAATCTAATGTATAGAATGTTAACTATAGTTAACTGATTTGTATAATTGAAATTTGTTGGGAGCGGTTTTAAAATATTTTCACCACACACAAGAGAAAAATGGTAACTAGATGAAGTGATAGATGTGTTAACTTCCATAATCGTGGATATGGATGTGATTTCAGTTGAGAAAGTTGAAAAAATGTCCTGGAGAAATATGGTGGTGATGTTTGCACAATAAAGTCAGAGTGTTTTATGCCACTGATCCATGCATATAAAAAGATAAAATTTTATGTTTTGTGTATTTTACCACAATAAAAAGCTGCATAGAAGTGGAAATATGGTAGTTAGCCTGATTGAACCATTTGAAAATATATGTATTATAATATTTACCTCATAAATATATACAATTATTTCTGAATTAAAAATAAACCAATTTTAGACAAGTGAAAAAATGCACAAAGGATTTGAATAGACATTTCACTTATGAAGTGAGCAAATGGGCAGTAAGTACATGAAAAGATGTCCAACCTCATCAGTTATATTGTTAATTCAAGTCAAAACCACAGTGAGATACCACTTCACACTCACTGGGATATCCATACTCAGGACAGAAAATAACAAAGTTTGGCAAAGTTTTGACAAAATTAGAACTCTTACGCATTGCTGTTGAGAATGTCTATATTAGAGCTGCTGTGAAAAAATATTTTGCAATACTTCAATAAGTTAAACACAGAGTTAAAATATCACCTAGCCGTTCTGCTCCTTAGGTATATACTCAAGAGAAATAAGGATTTATTTCCACAAAGATATATATATATATATAT